CAAAGGGCTGGTTTTTGTAATAATTGTTTTGCATTTGATTCTCAATCATACTTTTGGAAATCATCTAAGATAAGAAGGCCAATTCGAGCAGCTACTTGTTTGGGTTTTAGGTGTCCTGTGCAATTATGGATTTTGGGAAAGGTTATCTTTTGCACATGCACCATTCACTAACTGTTTGGAGTGATCCCTTCATGACATTTTGTTTTGGTCACTTGATCATTTTGATCAGGTGGCCTCACATAAACTTTAAACAAATACTCTTTTGAAGCCAGGTTTCACTGACTTATAATTTCTGTTCAGAGGGTTGCATGCTTTTGGATTCTTTCGTGTCCATGATAATTATGTTACTAAGTGTTGTGAGTAAAGCTGTTTTTTTAGACTTAACTGTAATTTGTCTCTTTCAACACAGGAAAACCCACCTCTCAAATATGGCCAAATCCACATCCAATACTCACTCCAGGAGATGAACTCGCATTGACCTGCCTTGTCAATGACGCAACAGTAACTATCACTTGGAAAAAAGATGGAGACCCGATAAAAGTCATTAATAAGAAATTGGATGAGAAAACAAGTGAACTGCGTATTCCAAAGGTTGTGGTGAAGGACAGTGGTGAATATTCCTGTGAAGCTTGTAACAGACTACAAAATGTAGCCCGCTCCACAGTGACAATATATGTCAACCGTAAGCTGGCATTATTCTAGTTTCCTAGAGACAATCAATTATTTAACAGCAACTAGTATTTCAACATAAATGTAACCTGAAAGTTTTGCATTGTTTTAAACATGCGACTGTCTGCTTTTTTTTTCCATTGTCGTCGTCGTTGTCGTTGTTGTTGTTTGTGATAAGCATGAGTCTCCAATGAATATTTAGGTCTCTGGCCTTTTAAATGCTGTAGAACCTCCTTAAGATACCCTTACAATTCGTTGCAATATGATCATGACTATTTGTTTCCCACTGGGAAATAGGAATTGTTCTTCATCCAGTTAACAAAAAGGCAGGTTATTTCTTTACTACTATGAGGGGTGATGGACTTGCAGGGGTTAGTAAAAATACTCTTGGGGGCATCATGCCACGGAAAACGGAGATAATGAGCCACTTTGCTTGTAAACAGACTTCACTTTATGGTTATTTGGTTATTTCTTCTACAACCTAGTTTTGATTAACCTTTCTTGGAATCTCTACCATAAAATAGTAGCCATTTCTAACGAGTCGGAGAAACTCTAGCAAAAGGTACAATTCAGGGATGATGGGTAATACTGGGTAAAAACCTTTGCATTATCATGATCACGTGTGCTAGCTCTGTCATTTGGCTAATGGCCATGTGTTAAACGTATTCCAACAGCTGTGAAGGTAAGGAGTCCATCCCTGGTGTGGTATTATATTGTTGGATCAATGGCTGCTGTCATTGTTATTTTGCTTGTATGCTGGTATTTTTGGAAGCGTCGAATGACAGGTAAGACTTANTCTGCATGTACGAGTTATTTTACAATCTTAGTTTTTCTGCCTAAGAAACGGTTATTTTGCCAACGTTAGAGTGATTTTTATTCCATAAATTAAAGAAATGGGTCAAATAATTTTGAAAATTAAAAGCTTTTCCTTAATTTGTTTTTTCTTGATCACATATATTGAAAGAAATAAACCCCTCCTCTCTATGCAAAGAGAACAGAGCAAATGCTATCGAGAAAATCGCTCGCGTTGTTTGTGATTCAAGGATTCAGCAGTGGCACGGGCCAAAAGTAACCAGAAAATAGGTGGAACTACTTACAGCTAGAAAGCGAAATACGAGGAAATCATGGGTATGGAAACATCTGGAAACCCGCAATCGGCGATAACTGGTCAACTGATCGGGAACTTTGCGATGAAGATGACAAGTTTGCTGTTGTCGTTTATTGAATAAAACTGTGAATAACTTAGGAAGTTTGTTGATTATTGTGTTGGGAAACTTTGCTTATTAATGAGCTCTGAACTCTTGAACCCGCTTATAGGCCGCACTGCAAACTTTCAAGGTGGATTTTCGTCACAAAAGTGCAGCCTATACGCGGGTAAATACGATACTTTGATTTATAATAGAAACTGATTTTCATAATGTTTAGTCCTAATCAAGGCCAGGCAGTTGAGATGGAGCTGTCGAATCTAGAAGTGGATGAATGGGAGGTTGAAGTGAACCGCGTCCTGCTTCAAGAGGTCATTGGGCGTGGGGCATTTGGAGCAGTGTGGAGGGCTCTTCTAAGTTCTCCAAATGGGAGGCCTGGAAATCGCACAGTTGCTGCTAAATGCTTCACACGTAAGATCCAGACAACTCTCTTTCTTCAAATCACTAGATAGGTATTTTATAGCCAAGGGGTGGCCTGTTTGGCACTTCCAATGGTTGTTTATCTCGGGTCAACTAAGGCGCTCTGCCAGATTCATGCAAAGTCATTTTTAATAATAACGAAAATAAAAGTTTCAGAAGAAATAAAGCATTTGAAGATAGCAAGCATGTGCTTCAATCATAAGAAAGGATTCGATCGCTAACCAGTTCCATTTTCGCAGGTGTGAGCACCACAAAGTGAGCTTCAGAGACCTCCTAAAATGTGAGGTCTAAATCCTTACCCAAAGTTTTTCTGGGAGAAAATTCGTCAAGAAGTCTTTTTTCCTGGCTATAAAGTATATCGTTTTTATTGTAGCCACTGCAGGGGAGGAAGGAAGGAAATGTTTGATGAGAGAGATCGAGCTGGGAAAAATTATCGGTGCAAGCAATCAGCCCAACATAGTGAAGTTCATTGGCTGCGTCACTAGACAAGGTACATGCTCAGTTTAAGGCATTATTGTTGGTATATGCAGTTACATTTTGACTGAGTGTGAGATTGTTACTTTAGTTTGTTTTGTTTTTGTTTTTTTTGTTTGTTTGTTTTTGTTTTTGTTGGATTTATTTTTCCTTTTGTGCGTTATTTCTAAGTTCATCCAATCCTCATCATGGAATACTTGCCATGTGGTGACCTGCTTGGTTACATGAGAAAGTGC